ACCACAGACAATAAAAAAATCTAAATTATAATAATCTTCTTGTTTACTATTTTTGGAACAAAAAATCATGAATGCAGGTAAGTATTTTTAATAATATCCTTTGTAAACTTAACAATAAAATGAAATAACAAAATCAGAATATTCTCTTATTGGTTGATAATACCATGGTCCATATAATTTTTGATGAAATTTAAGAAGAGTTAAGTAATATAAAGGTTGAATTTTTGCCAAAAAATACTATACCATTTTTCAACTTTGTGATACCGGGATTATCAATTCATTTAAATGCAAATATAAGCAACTTTTTTGTTCAAAATCGAATTAATGCTTATGATAATCTGCAAAATGGTATTACAAAAACACTTTCTGAATATAATGTGTATCATGCATTACTTAATGCTGCAGAGGCATGGGCGATGATAACACCTGAAACAATTATTAATTGTTGGAATAAAACCGGTATTCTTTCATTGCAAGAAGAAAAAGAAATGCAATTTGTTTTAATCAGGATGATATTAATAATATATTAAAAAATGAAAAAGAAGATCTTGAAAATTTAATTGCTCAACTTTCAGAAAATGATTTTCTAAATACCCATTAATATATTTGTATTGAAAATACTGAAATTGAAGGTAATCTCACTAACGATGATATTTTGGAAGCAATAGCTAATAAAAATGATGATAAAACTAAACAATCTAATAGTGAAATAAGAGAAAAAGTAAGTTGTATTAAAGCAGAAATAGCACTTGATACAATTTTAAGGTTTTTATATGTACAAGATGAAGAATTTGGTGAAGTTGAAGAAAATATAAAAATTTTAAGGAGATTACATTAACGTATTAGAATGCTTTGTGTTAAAAATCTAAAGCAAGTAGAAATTTCCTGCTATTTTATGTCTGAATAAATATATAAAATACAGTATGTAAATATACTGATATTTATATAATATAATAAGGGATCTATAAATTTACTGAAAACATTTCTTGAATAATTGAAAGTTTAGATCTATTTAAAATATAAAATATATTACACTCCAATGACGTTCTAAGGAATTATGTTAAAAATTAAAAAAAATCACAAATTATAATGAAATTGAATTAAAATACAATTTGGGGTTTCTATTTACACTTCTAAACCCTACTTCTCTTGTTTATTATAAGTTCTACCCCTAAAGCTAACCATTAATACTAAAGAAAGCTAAAAAAAAATATATATATTCAATATTTGTATTTTTTAGTAGCTTTTCTATTTTATATTTATTTTTTTAAGTTACTAAATTGTTATTAAATTGATAGACAGTATTCAAATAAGAATACTTAAATTTTTTATATTGCCAGAATTTTTTTAAAAAAAAATTTAAATAAAAAAATTGTTTACCTTTATTTTAAATAATAAGTATCTGAAAAAAAGTGTGTTGGCATAGGTATTCTGTAATAACTTACTATTTTTTAAATAATAGCATTCAACTTGTAGTTAGAATATATTAATAAAAGCAATTTTGTAAAATATCACTATAATAGAAAATATTAATAT